ATTGTGCTTGTGATATGTTGTAAAATGTTGTATGTCTGTTAATGTTTCCCTCCTTTTATCTTTAAAATAAAAAAAAAAAAAAAAAAGACAACAACAAATACTGCAAGGACATGGAGAAGGGGAGAACTCTTATATACTGTTGACAGGAATTTATATTGGACAGAAATTATGGAAAACATAATTTTTTCCATAATAAAAATTCCTCAAAGACTGTAAGTGGTCCTACCATATGATCCCACGTTTCCACTACTGGGTATATATCCAAAGGGAATGAAAACATTATAACAAAAAGATTCTATGCTCCTCCATTTATTGTGGAGTATAGACAATTCATAGTAGCTAAAATATGGAATCGATTCAGATGCCTTTTAGTAGACGAATGGCTAAAGAAAATGTATGGATGTATAGATGGAGGGTGGGTGGATGGATGGATGGATGGATGGATGGGTGGATGGTTGGATGGCTGGCTGGCTGGCCGGATGGATGGATGGTAAGGAGGGAGAAGAGACTGTATGAGGGAGGGAGGAAAAGAGGGACGGAAGGAGGCAGATTGATTACTCAGCCATAAAAAGAATTCAATACTGTCACTGCAGCAAAATGGATGGGACTGGAGGTCATTATGTTAAGTGAAATAAGCCAGACACACAAAGATAAATATCCCTTTTTAAAATTCATTTGTGGAGACTATTAAGTCAAGCTTATAGAAGAATAGTGTAAAAAAAAAAGTAGTTATAAAGACTGGAGAGGGGGAAAGGGCCACAAGAAGTTCATTAGGGGACTCCAAAACAAGAGTGAAAGAATTATTTCTGATTCTTCTTAAGCACAATAGAGTATCTATACTCTAAAACAATCTGTATTTCGAAATAATTAAAAGTGAAGAATAAGAAATTCCCAACAAAAATGGTTGTTTCAAGAGATAGAAATACTTACTACCCTGATTTGGTTATTATACACTGTATACATGTACTGAATTACTATGATCTATCCCTTAAAGATGTGACAATATTACGTCTCAATTTTTATAAAAAGCCATGCCTTACCTTGAGTTTTTCTGATGTTCGTTTTCCACCAAAGCCTCCAGAGCCAACAACAAACAGAGAAATCTGATTATAGCATATAAGTTCTTTCCCAGAATAAGCATAGGCTACAAAGTAAATAAAAAGTTGTTACGAACAAAACACATAACTAATTAAGATATGGTCAACAATTTCTGTAAAAATTTCAAAACCAAAATCCAGTTCTCAAGGGGTTCTACACCAATAGCCATGTTTGCATTATGAAGCACTCACTTGAATACATTCTCCACCAGACTCTGATGGGCAGAAAGAAGCAGCACTTCATAAAGCCTTTTCACTAGGAAAAAGCAGTTTTTCTCATTTCTAAACCTCTCCAAACTGCCATTCACAATTCCATTTTTTTCCATAACAAGTATTTCAAACAATTCCAACAGAAAATACAAATAAACATATTCAAACTTCGTACATTCTGTCAAAGCACTCAGAAACATGTACTATAAACAGGAAAGTAAAAATAAAGGTATAACCCATGTAGGGACAGAATCTTGACAGTTCTGTTCACCATTATATTACAAGAAATTAGAATAGTGCCTTGGTACAAAATAGGACCATAATCATTAAATTAACTACTAAAGCAGTAAATAAATTATATAAGTTAGCAAATAAAAAAATGACTAAGATAGCAGACCCTCTATTTATTAATTTAATATCTACCTAGTTCTTAAAAACTAGGAATATGATTTTGAATTGCATACCAAACACAAAATAAGAAAAATTATGGCAATCTGCATTTAAAACAATATTCTTATCTCTATTACACATGAAATCGGGGTAACTTATTTTATCTAAGCTTATTTACATTATCTAATACACTGTGACCAATGTATAGTTAAGTAAATGGGACAGATTAAGTGACAATGATAAAGATCAAAGCCAGGGTACTAAATAAGTCTTGTGTTGTGGTATGTTATATTTATCAGAAGATTAACCGATAATTATGAAAACTTTAGCCAAATGTTGACCAACACCAGGAATGAAAAGCATAAAAACCTAAAATAAAAGAGAGGAAGAAAAGAAGGATGAAGTAGAAAAAAAGGAGAGCAAAAATACATAGTATTTGAGTATCAAAACGTATTTTCAATATATTCCTAAGTGAAGGGCTGGGGATTTAGCTCAGCGGCAAAGCACCTGCCTGGCAAGCGCAAGGTCGTGAGTTCGGTTCCTGGTATCCGGAGAAAAACCAAGAAAAAAAAAAATATATATATATATATATTCCTAAGTGAAAACAAAGCCAAATTCTAAAGCAGCATATTCATATGAATGGTTCCTGACTTTCAATGATTCAACTTATAATTTTTCCACTTTACAATGGTGTGAATGCTGTACATGAGTACTCAGTGGAAATTATACTTTAAATTTTTAATTTAAATTCAATTTTTCACCCCCACCCCAAAAGCTAGCAAATGTGACAATTTCTTGCAATGCTTGGCAGGGGTCAGAAGCCAAAGCTCCCAGTCAGCCATGCAATCATGAAGGTAAACAACTAATACTGTATACTGTTTTGTGCTGCTAAGCTATGATGTTTGGTATTAGGTGCATTCAATGTTATTTTTTAATTTAATGGTACTGGTAATTGAGCCCAGAGAGCACTGGGCTACACCCCTAGCCCTTTCTAAATTGTTCTTTGAGATAAGGTCTGGGCACTAAATTGCCCAGGCTGACCTTAAACTTGTGATCCTTCTGCTTCAGCCTCTGGAGTAGTTGAGAGTCAATTTACACTAGGTTTATCAGGACATAACCCCCATGGTAAGTCAAGAAGCAGCCTTTGCATTACTATATAAAAATTACATGGTGTACATTCCAAACATCAGGTAATATTAAATTTTTTACTATTCTTCACTTCCAAATTTTTCACAATAAATTTTTCCTGTTAAACTTTAAAATACAATTTAAGCAATATGTCTTTAACTTATGTTTAATTACTAATATTTCAATATTTATTAAATTACTATAATGTTTTTTTTCCCCACTGCAGGTAAAACGTGGCTATGGTATTTAAACTACATTATGTGTTCAACAGATTTAAATGTACAAGTCTAGAAACCTAGTTACTATTTAGAAGAATGATCCTGTGGCTAAATATGTTCAAAGTTACAAATAGCTAACACAGAAAAGAATAGCAGTAAGAAAGCCTATCAAGTGAGGGCTAATGTTTCTTCTGCCAAAAATATACTTCAGACATAATTCTCATCAATATCTGTGTATAAGCCACATTTCTCAACTCCCCACTTTGGTAATGTTGCTTACATTCACTGAAATACTCCACCCTCTCTGGCCCTAGTTGCAGTCTACTTCATTTTCTGCTCCTTCCTTATTTTTCTTAAAGAGCTTATAAAATTTTTAAATGTTTATCTTGCTTTCTTACATAATGGAAAATAAATGTAAACATATTAGTCAACTTCTGTAGTGAAATGTTACAAAATAACTACATTCATCTTGGGCAACTGGTACACACTGCATATTATGTATTGCAAAAATATAGTAATAAAAACTAACTTTAAAAAATATGTTACACACAAAGCCTATCAATCTAACAATATCATTATAGGAAATGTAAAGAAGTTACCATCCAAAACAACTACTAAGCCAGATCCTTTATCTAGGATATCAGCAATAACTGCTTCACATTTTAACTTTCCTGAAATGAAATAAAAAGTAAAATAAGTATTGTTTAAAGACAATAAATTATTCAGACATGAAAGAGTATAACATAGTTTCCACTATAACTTCAGCAAAACTAAAAAAATCAAACATTGAAAAAATTTTCCTGAACTCACTAGAAAAGTCAACATAATTCAAGACTACCCAAATTTCTAATTTGAAACATTAATATTTCTGAAAAACATGATTTTTTAAAAATAATAATTTTCAATGTCAATAATCCTTCTTGATCTCTTTTGTCTCATCACCCAACAAACATTTTTTGAGCACCAACACCATCTACCCCATTCTTCTTCAACTCTCAGTTTCAAAGGGACATTGTTTCTCAGTAGTCTGCTCTCTTATAGACTCTATCACTGTTTAAATGGTAACATCCTGATAGATTATTATTATTAAAGGGTGAACTCATCTTTCCCTCAAAACCTGCTCTTCTCTGTTCTCTGTATAACTGAGTGACACCAACCATCTAGCTGCCAAACCACAAACTTAAGCATCAAGGCTTAAGTATGCAACACTGGTAGAAGCTAGGTCATATTAAAACATTTTAACTTCATCTGAAGCCTATGGATAGACATTTGGAAGGTTAAGTAGGGAAGCAGCAAACACATTTGCATTTTAGAAATAACATTCTTACTATGGTGAGGAGAAAAGACTGGAGGGGAACAAGAATGGAGACAGAATACTTAGAAGGTTAGAGAAAAACACAGTGAGAAATGACGACGTTGAAGGAGAGGTAGAAAAAAATAGAAAAATTCTGGATGTATTTAAGGGAGAGAATCAAGTAACTCAGCATCTCTCTGCATGTGAGAGATGGTAAAAGAGATGCCAAGCATTACAAAGACAAGCCAGAGTGATGCCTCTCAAAATCCAAATCTGTTTACATACTTTCTCCTCTTCAGAGTCCTTCCCTGGTTACACTGCCTTTAGAATGACACTGAGACTGCTCCCTCTTTATCCTCATTCCCTACTACCCTTCTGAGTATGGCCTTTAGGACACTTGACCAACTTGCAGTTCCCTGAATAGTCAATACTTTTTTCTCACTTCCAAACCTTTGCACACAGTGTTGCCTTTGCTCAAAACATTTTTCAGTCTCTTCTCTGCACAGTTAAATCCTAATTCAACCCTCAGATCTCACCTTAGAATTTATTCCAACCAAGAAGCTTTCCCCAACTCTAAACTCTATTCCAGGTTAGAGACCTTTTGTTTGTACCTGTGCACTTACATCCCTTCCACTATGAAGTATTATAAAGTATTTATCACTGCCAAATGTCTCCTAGACAAGACTCTAAGCACTGCATAAGCAAGGATATTATCTTTTCCATAGTTACACTGTCAATTGTTAGAATGCCTGGCACTAATAATATGTAATAAATATTAAATAAGTAATTCCAGACAAATTGTTTTCATAATCTACTTTTCTGTAGTTTCTAATTTTTCTATAAGTATATATAATTCTATAATTTTGTGCAAATCTAGCTAAATGAGTACTTAAGAGAAAAAAGTCAGATCCTATACTAACAAAGCCACAACTCTGAGATTCTGCTTTCAAAAGCTGGCACAATAATTCTATTTGCATAATGCTTAGGTGTTCAAAAGCACTTTTATATATACTAGTCTTTAATGGTCACATATTCCCTAAGCAAATCAAAGTTGGTAACATTATCAACCTCACTTCCCAGATGAAATAATGTATTATTTTGTACTAACAGGTTATGTTGAGCAAGAAGTAAGTCTAATAAAGATCATATTGCAACATAATAAATCAAACCCAAACTAAGAAAATCTAAGAACAGAACATCCTGAATAGAACATGTTCTGGTTCGTGAAGAAAAATAGTGCCATTACTAGTTTCTTTCACTCCATCTAATGGTTACTCTGTCCTGATGAGGGAAAGCCAGCTTATGATAGTAACACTGTAACTCAGAAAAGCAGATGGTGACATCGGTCTGCTGGTACGATTATACAGACAGATTACAACTAGTAGTTATACCCTTTGGTTTTCTGCAATTTAAAAACCACAATATCTCAAAATTTGAACACTCATACTAATGACAGAATAAACTTGCCAACTACGTAATGAAAATGCACAGGTGCTATTTTAAAATAATTCATGAGAAACAACTTGAGGATAAGGAGTTAAATACATCAAGAAAAATAATTGTGACATTTTAATCATTTTGGAGTGTATGTCTAATCTCTCCATATTTTAAAATCCCCAAAGGCAGAATCAAATACACTTCTGTTACTTACAGCAACAGATGTCACACAAACCAGTTCGGCTGGTTGCATATGAAACACAAGGAGCCTTCCCTGCCGCTGAGGCCACCACCACCCACAAGCACACGTAGGAATGCACACACGATCTTCAAGGGTGGGGTCCCCTGAGTCACGGTTTAGATCTAAAATGTCCCCAAGAAGTCTGCTCAGAGATGGGGCTCTGCAGGAAGGGGAGGGTCCCTGAGGGCTGATCTCTGTTCCCGGCTCCCTTCTCTCTCTGCTTCCTGGCTGCTGTGGGACAAGCAGCTGTCCTCTGCCAGCCTTCCGCCCATGCTGTTCTGCCAACTCTGGACTGATCCCCCTGGAACTGAACCAACACAAACCTCTCATCCTTTAAGTTGTAGACATCAGACATTTTGTACTAGGGAAAGGAAAGTGACTAATACTATGTTTTACTAAAAATAACAGACGATGTAATAATTCAGGTAATTTTAATATGCAGTCAGCTTAGAAAAGTACCCAATACCTAATACTATGCTTTGTAAATGCTAAGTATTCAGCAGATATATGATGAATGTACAGTCACCACAAACTGTGGTCCATCTCAGATAAAACAGGCTGTTTGAAGTTTATGCTATGATACTTATACTAAAATAAAGCAACAAAATACACAAAAACTTTAGATAAATATAAAGATTTAAGAAAAAATAGGGCTCTAGCTATTTGTTGACATCTATATTACACAATGTACAATGATAAAACTCCTCTGGCCAATAAATTAGATAACATTCTGACATAAGAGGAAGGAAAACAAATACTGTATATCAAGTTACAGTGAAAGCTTTGGTGACTGAAAGCAAGCAAGACTGAGAAAAGATGAGAACCAACAAAGGCTTGTTTTTACCTTCTCAAAAAAAAGGGAGAAAAACTGTAAGAAATTTGGTATCGGGGCTGGGGATTTAGCTCAGTGGCAAAGCGCCTGCCCGGCAAGCGCAAGGTCGTGTGTTCGGTTCCCGGTACCAGAGAAAAACCAAAAAAAAGAAATTTGGGATCTTTAAATACTGTTCACTTTATTAAAATAAATATCAAGATAAATATCTGAGAAAAAGGACAAAGGACTCTAATCATAGGGGTCACAAGTGCTAGCACAATCACTACATTTAAAATACACACAAATGTCCCTTTCAACTGCTAATGACACATAATTAATAGAACACATTGACAGTAACATAAAAGAGTGGTACTGGACAAAGTCTGAGGTAAACAAAACCAACATCTAAGGTAACCAAATCAACCTAATCAAACTGTGGATGGGCACATAATTACTTCTACTATGTTTTACCAGGCTACTCTGTGCCGGTCTAATACCATGGCAGAGCGTGGAGGGTTATCAGAAAATACAATTGTGGGGGGCTGGGGATTTAGCTCAGCGGCAAAGCGCCTGCCTGGCAAGCGCAAGGTCGTGAGTTCGGTTCCCGGTACCGGAGAAAAACCAAAAAAAAAAAAAGAAAAAGAAAAAGAAAATACAATTGTGGTATTATGTAATTAACATATCCAGGTACTCACCTGTTCTAGGAAATGGTTTATATAGCTGCAAGTATTGTTCCCCATGAAGAACCTATGTTAGGATAAGCAAATTGTATTAGCAACCTTTCTTGTCCCCAGGTCCTGCCTGCGGATAGTGCTAATCAGAAGTGACATTTTCCGTTCACACATACAATCAGCACCCTCGCATCACTATTCTTCCTATATCATCTATCTCAGTTTGGCTTCTACTTCCTAATCCTCTCATCCAGAAATAATCAGTTCCCCACTCTAAAGGCTGCCAGTACTTCTGGGAAAGATACATTTGTGCTCTTTCTTGGCATTCATAAATCTTTGTTGCCTGATAATTACAGAATATTTACCAATAAAAGTCCCTAAAGTAGGCTGTACTCCCGGAGCTTACAACAGTGCCTGAAACATAATTATCTGTTGAATAAAAATGAACAAATGAGCCAATGCTAGTAAGGTAAGTCCAGGTCATACATACCAAAGAGAAATGACCCAACAAAAACACAAAGGTAAACCTTACAACCTATTCAAAGTAAAAGCACTATCAATGTCAACCATGTATATATTACAATTATTTACAAAAATTAAATACTGAGAGCATTGTGTAACTTAACTGTAACTTAACAGCCTCTTCAATATATCAAAACAAGAATTCTCTTTAACTGTTTCATTAATCTCGCATTCTTACATCTGGTAATCTGAACAATTTCACTGAAGATAACAAACTATAATATAACAACCACTGTTAATTCCTATCATTTTATTTGGAAATCCTGTATCGTTTTTACTATTTTTGTGTTGTGTTTTGTCTTTGTTGCTATTTTGTTATTTTTTTATTCTCTTTAAAATAAAAAAAGAAGAATACACCAATATATGTGGAAAAACAACAGGTTAAGAAAATAAAAAACTGACCCTCACACCCAAATGACTGTACTTTACTTCAGTGGGATAATTTTCCAGTCTTCCTCAAAATTGAGAAGGTAAGAAAAAAAGACAGAAAGGAAGTTGATGTGAGAATAAATGAAGGACTGCCTGCCTTACTATGTCATATAGCTTGGTTCACAAGACTGGCATTCAAAATCTAAGATTGCTATCATTCCTGGTCACAGACAAAAAGCACCACTGATGATTTCCAACTCTGAGAGGAAACTGTAAAATATGTTTTAATTTTTACACTTACATTATCTGAAAAGAACAGTGTGCCACAAATAACATAGAAGAGTAACTAATAGCAAACTGCAAAGCACATACTTCCAGTCTTCCTCCTCAATTCATAAAATGCTCTAAGAGAGTAAGTTCCCATCCTGTAAGAAGGGATAGCCAGACTTCTATCACTTTACTGAAAGGAACAGTTAACGATTACTTATTTGATCAGTCTTCCATGTCTCTATTTGTTTTCCTGAGAAACCACTTTGAAGGTATCAGTATGTAATACAACAACCATTGTTAATTTCCTACCACTTTGTAACTCTGTATTGTTTGTATTGTTCTTATGCTATTTTGTAAACAGATGTGTTTGTTATGTTTTCCTTCTTTCATTTTTAAAATAAATTTTAAAACAAAAAAAGAAGGGATAGCCATTAGCAATGGGCAAACTGACTTGACCCAATCAGTCAAAATCACAGAAATCTGCTTATCGCTTTATGATTCAACAATTATTTTGGGGTACAACCTGAACCTTACTTCAAGAACTAAAATATACCCTCCCTCAAAAGTTCTCTCACAATTGTTCAAGCCTTCCTTCTTGAAACAGTTTATTCATTTGGCTTCTCAAACACCACATTCTCAGGGTACTCCTCATATCCACAGGCCATGTGTCTAAGTCTCTTTCGCTGGATCTTTGATGTCTCTTTCATCTCTAACACTACAGGGCCTCTGAACTCAGGTCTCTGCTCTAACTCTAATCACACATCTGTGATGTGCATCTACTCTCAATATTTAAACATCACCTAAACACTAAGGGTCCTGTTTAAACCCTTCTTCCAAAGTCTACACTCTGGAAGTGTACACTTCCACTCTGGAAGTGTAGGGCAGTTATACAACTGCCCTCGCCACATCTCAAACAAATGGCTGTGTAGCAGCCATCTCAAACTTACCCAAAACCAACTCCTTAAAATAAGTCTATGTGCATATGGTCATATGGAGTAATGTCACATGTGACTGCTGTACATAGCAAATATATTTCATAGCTGTATATATCACATGTACGTACACATACACACACTCGCCCACATAATTTCAGGTGGCTCCCCTTTCCCTGCCCTTATGTCTAAGCCTTTTGCTTGAATGGCTGTCACAGGACCCTAACTGGTTTCTCATTTGTGCTCGGCTCTCACACTTCTTTTCTCCAGACCACAGCAAGACTGAAACCCAGTATGTACAGCCAGACTACAGCTCCCCTTCCTAACCGAGCATAAGCTGCGATCCTTACAGTAATTACAAAAGTCCCCTTTCCTACCACCCTTGGAGAGAATGACCTTCACTCACTCTGGCTGCACTGGCCTCCACGCCGCTCCAACATCACGTCCAGTATGCAACAGTCTCAGGGTCATTACAGGTGTTCTCTCTGCCCCAAGTGCCCCCCACAATTAGCTGGTTTGCTCCTTCACCAGTATCATGAATATTCATTTTATAAATAAGAAACTGAACCCTAAAGTTATCTATACTTGACCAAAACCCAGAGAAAGAACAACATTATGACAAGGTTTGAGAACTGTGCATAATTATTTTCTTTTTTGCTGTCATTTTAAACTAATTCTCCTCCCTTTTATTCTTAAAAGAAAATCAAAGGATATGCTAAATCTTTATTCCTGAATCAATCATTATAGTTTTTGAATATATATGTACATATACATGTGATGTAACATTTACCAGTAACATTTAAAGAAACAGAAGACAAGCAAAAGAAAAATTTCTTAGTAGGCATACCTTTGCAAAGTTGATTGGAAGTTCGGGAATTTCTGCTAATCCTCCACCAGTCATAGATTTCTGAGTTACAATAACTCCAAAGGTGGGCAAACAGGAGAAATCAGAACTTCCTTCATAGAGAAATTTCAAATCTTTTGTATCTTTCATTGATGCTCCCACTCCAAGGGCATACATAATAGTGTCCAGTTCCGTATAAGCAAAAGTAAATGAAGGAAATTGATACCCAACAGCGCTAGCCTATGGAACAGTTGCAAAACAAAAATTATGTTTTAAAACAATAACAAATGCTGGCAGTGAAAAAGGAGTCCTCCTGCATTGTTGGAGGGAATGTAAACTAGTACAACCATTACAGAAATCATTATGGAGATTTCTCGAAGAATTAAATTAGAAATTCCGTATGACCCAGGGATTCCCATTATCTTCCTGGAAGAGCTACATCATACTACAGTGATACATGCATACTAATGTTTATAGCAGCTCAACTTGTAATAGCTAAATCACAGAAACAACCTGTGCACCCATCAACAGATGACTGGATAAAGAAAATGTGGTATCTTTATATAGTAGAATATACTGTGCTATAAAGACTGACATATGTGAGACATTTGTAGAAAAATGGATACACCTGAAAATTATAATGTTGAGTAAAATAAATCAAACACACAAGCTTAAATACTATATAGTATTTCTCATCTGAGTGAGGTGAAGTACAAACAAAGAGAATAATAAAGGATGGACAGAAGGGGAGAAGGAGATGGATCTCTTGCAGTAAGGAAGTAATCCAAAGAAAAAGGCACAAGGGGCAAGGAGGAGGGGAAGGGAAAATAAGTAAAATAAATATGCACCATGTACAGGAACCTACCTAATAACCTCAATTAATATAAACATTATATGCCATAGGATGAGTTATGATTAATAACATTGGCAAGAATGAAAAACGGGATGAGGAACCAGAGGAGAAGCAGGGGAGGAACGAGAAGTGGATTTAAAAAAACAGATGTATGTACATGTAACAAAAAACAGTGGTATGTACATGTAACCACTCTCCAAGATGACTGTAAACTGAACAAGCTAGAGCTAGGATATAGCTCAGTGGCACAGCACTTGCCTAGCAAGCTCAAGGTCCTTAGTTCAATTCCTGATACCAATAAATAAATAAATAAATAAATATAAACTGTACAAGCTACAAACAAGTACTTACAAAAAATTTAGGGGCTGGGGATTTAGCTCAGCGGCAAAGCGCCTGCCTGGCAAGCGCAAGGTCGTGAGTTCGGTTCCCGGTACCGGAGAAAAACCAAAAAAAAAAAAAATTTAAAGTGATTTTTTTCATTGTATTTTCATCAAATCTTTGAAATTTTAACTTTTCAAAACTGCTAGCTATTTGTGTACCTAGTTTTCCTTTTGAAAAGACGTAACTACAATGTCAGTGTATCTGATGGAGACAGTTTCTTTACATTTGATTTTTTAATGGAAGTCAATTAGATAATAGCTAAGAAAGGTTTTCATTCATAGGTAAGTACTTTTATTGCTTAATTCTTGCCAACATATAATGTCTCATTTTCAATTTTCCTGTTTGACAGAGCAGGAAACCCTAATAATTTCACAAATAATGATTACACAAAAATTTAAAAGTGAATTTATTATAATTAAGGATAGTGAACTGCTTTATAGGATCAACTGCACAAAATTCACTGTAAACAAGTAAAGCATTGCTTAATGTTTATAAATTAGACTGCTTCAAAATACTTTGAATTCAGATGAGATTTAATCTGACATTCCTTCCTTCAGAAGAATGTGTTTTGTCAAACTGAATGTTGTATTTTCCAATTTAGTGATGATAGACCCAGCTATAGCATGAAGCACGTTAGGTTATAAAATAATGTCCAATTCTTTATCCTAAAACAGGAGTCAGAAAACCAGGGCTAAAACCTAAGAAGGGTTTTTATAATTTTAATTAGTGGTTAAGAAAAGAAAAACAGCTCAGGGTATATAGTTTACTGATGGAGCACATAGCCACTTACTTAGCTGAAACTTGCTGAAATATTTCCAAAATATAATCTGTTAATGCTTTCCCTTAAAAGAAGAAATTCACAGAGTACTAAAATAAATATCCTCTTCTAAAAATTTAGAAAAACAATGACTACGATTATCAAAGGATGGTCATGAAAAAGTATTCATCAAACTATACTGACAAACAGAAAATAAAAGTTACATTTAACATTCAGATATTCTGTCACTATCTAGAACATATTTTATGAAAAGTTTTGTGGTCAATTATTAAGAAATATATCAGCAGCTTAGAAAATAACATCTTGTATGTAAAATAATGTTTCAAAATTGTTTCACAAAGTCTTCTGTTTGGCAAATTAAAAAAAAAAACAAAGAGACTGCAGAACAGAACCACCCCCCACAAATTCTCACAAAATTCAGACCTATTCATCATCAGTTTAAAGGTAGGCTTGAAGAGATCAAGCGGCATTAATGGCACAATGAAAACAATACATGGAAAGAGACAGACGGCTGGCAGAGGTATCAGGACCAGGTAACACCTTCACTTCAAGTCCTAATCCCTTTTCCCCTTCCACCCAGCACCCTCCTACATTAATTTACAACAGCAATGCAGGGATAAAGGGAGCTAAAGCACTGATTAGACAGCTAACAAATGTATCACACCCCCAAAGAAACTACCAAAACATACATGCTAGTGAAGAGAATCCTTCTAAAAAGTTCAGACAAGCTCCTAGCATGTTTTCAATCACCCAGAAAAGCCAAAAGAAGCTGAGCTTAGCTTCCTTTCTGCTACCCCACTCACACACCAGATCAGTGGTGGCAAACCTACGGCATACCTGTTATGTTTTTCTTTTAAAACAAAAGATGTGAATGTATCAGCTATTTTTTCTCAACAAAACCTCAGTATTTGCAATAAATACGCTGGTTTTGGGTTGCAGTTTGGGCACTCATCTAAAAGTTCTGCCATCACTGCACTAGGAAGAGCTTTGAAAACTGCTACTTAGTTGCCCTGATCTCCTCTCTAGCATCCTCCGTGGGTAAAAAAAAAAAATGGCACAGGGGAGTCCAGAGAAAGCTAAGAGGAAGAAGGGGAAATTCCAGACTTCACCATTCATCCCAGTCCACTCTTCATGTGGTGCACTGTCAGATATCAGAACCTGCCTCACCTGGCTGTGGCCAAAGCACAGCCATTTTAGTTAGGAAATAAACAGACATCTTGAGGTAAGACGAACTTTCACCGACCTAAGCAATACTCCCCTCCCTCCTTCTTGTGTGGCAGGACATTCCAGCCCATAAAAGCACACAATGGCAAAAACAGGCAAAGTTCCCCTCTTGTTATGCAAATTTCTACAGCACTCACACATTCTAAGCCAAATAAGGAAATGTTCTTGCCTTCCCAACCACTCAAACTATGGCCCTGTAAAATCTGTAGTTGTTTGTCTGGCCAGGAGTCGTGACCCACACCTGTAATCCCAGCACTTGGGAGGCTGAAGCAGGAGGATCCCTGCAAGTTCGAGACCAGCCTGAGCTACAAAGTGAGCTCAAGGCCAGCCTGAGCTGCATAGTGAGACCTTGTCTCAAAAAGATGAAGAAAAAAAAAAATCTGTAGTTGTAGCCCCACTCAGGGTCAACATTCTAGACTCTATGTTGGGTGTTGTCAACCAGCTAATAAAGCTTGTTTGTCTTTCCTCAGCCTCCGTGGGTAAATCTTCATGTTTTGCAGCAATAGCTTAAAGGCCTGTATGTCAGAATTGGCCTTAATCTCTTACCAATCATAAATGATTTCTGAATAAATTCTCTATTTCAAATTATCTGTGCCACCATTTCTCTCCATTATTAGAAACTGAAAGACAGTGACTGCATCCGAAAGGAAAGAGAGAGCATAAAGAAGGAAAAAACAGTCTCTAGAGAAGATAAAAAGCAAAGGCCTTTTTGTCCCACTTACAAATCCTGGTGAGGCTGTAGATGCAGCATGACTGGTAGGGTTTGTTGAAACTTCTTCTGAATCTATTTTATGTAAAACTTCAATTATACTGGCAGTTGATTCTAAAATTAAGGAAGAAAAAAAGCTTTCTTCAAAATGTGACTAAAAAACTATAGTATGCTAGGTAACAGTTGCTACAAAACCTCCGTCATCACTCACAAACTGAATTTATGTTAGGCTCGTATAGAAAAAAACTGTGAAAAACCGAAAGAGACCAAAAATAACTAGATATTGTCAAAGGAAAACAAAGCATTGTCTAATATATCCCTCCCAGATTCTGGAGAGCACTGAGCTTTTCAGTATCTTGAGCTATTTTGTTACTATAAAGTGGGATACTTGTTTACAAATATGGAAGAATTCCAAAATTACCTCTGTCCCAGGTCTCTATATAAGTTCTAAAAATAGTACTAAAAAAACCCAGAGATAGAAAAAATCATCATCATAAACAGTGACTCCAAAAGGAATCAAAGCTGTTGCTCTGGGGTCCAAAAAATTATAAAGGATCCTCATAGGGCATCCATATACACCATGATGTCCTGAAGCCTTTAGGATCCTCCTGCTAAACCCAGGGGATAGTGGACTTCCTTCTGAACTCAGACAAAAACCATGAACCAAAAGACAGTGTCTGAGACAACCAAGTACATTTGCCATTCCAGGTGACACTAGCACAGAGGTTTCTTGCCTATTAATCTTCCCTCTACCTCTCTCTTCATTCAGGCCACTGCCTCAAGCACACTGATACAGGCTCAAAGCACTACACCTGACAGACGGGAATTCGTCTTGGCTCAAACACTGACTAGTTCACTGCAATTTAGTTCTGTAAAATAAAAACACTGGAATAAGTGCTCTAGAAAATCAACTCTTACAAAAAGTGGTCTTTTATTGGGTGGTTTTTTTTTTTGCTATACTTCAAATATTAAAGTCATCAATTAGGTTTTAAGTATAGTCAATACTTTTGAAGCAAAAATAGTTTTTAAAGAAGAAATCAGAAGTTTTCAAATAAATGTTTCCCCCTTTCTCCTTCAATTTCATTAATAAATGACTGTTAATCATAGAATAAAATTATCTGAAATATCAAAAAAATTGAATACAAGAATGCTATCAGGCGTGACCTAAAATAGTCATTTTTCTGATATAGTCTATCACATTTTGAATATAAAATCACTAAGAGGAAAAATGTTTTTCTTTAAAATGACACTGATTCATGACCTTTCACAGAAAACTCTAAACTTCATATACCAAATGTACATGTGAATTAAATTAGAAAAAATAATGTAAATTTTATTTGGTACCAACTCCCATGGGTACCACTCCCATGAGTGATTAAATAATTCCAGTTAACAGACGTTTTCTAAATCTCTTCTATGAGTTTAGCACTATGCTAACATGAGTACAAAAGAATTACATATACAACTGAGCATACCTCAATAGGTAGGTACCTGCCTGGGTTTGATAATAGGTAGGTACCAAAGCCCTAGGTTTGATACCCTGCACATAAAAAAAATCACCTGTAAGGTACAATCTCTGCCCCAAAGAAACTTACCAAGCAGTTAAGAAACCATACATTCAAGGGGGTAGGAGGTACAGTAGAGCTGTTACAATTAGATGTTCAAGCAGTAGAAATTCAACTAACAGAAAGATGAGTGTAGCCCAGAATTATGCATAGGTAGTAAAAGGAGGAAGAGTTGTAGTAGAAAGACATGGAAACAGTAACAAAATCAAAGCCCTGGGGCTGGGGATTTAGCTCAGTGGCAAAAGCGCCTGCCTGGCAAGCACAAGGTCGTGAGTTCGGTTCCCAGTACCGGAGAAAAACAAAAAACAAAAAACAAAAAACAAAATCAAAGCCCTAAAGTAAGACCACATCTATTCACTGGACAGAAAAAAGCTAAGCTTAAATAGGTATAAATAAACCATTAGGGAAACAGAGGAAAAACTGGGGGCTGGGGATTTAGCTCAGCAGCACAGTGCCTGCCTGGCAAGCGCAAGGTCATGAGTTAGGTTCCCGATAATGGAAAAAAAAAAACAGAGGAAAAACTGGGTCAGATAAGAAACACATGGCTAGAGCATAAGTGATTTTAAAAACAACCATCAGCTGGGGAATAAGTACGTTTAACACCTGACACCATCCTTCCCTCAGCAAGCATAAACAAAACAAAACAAAACAAAGATTATTTTTAAAAAACCTGGAAAATAGTGGAGTAAAATATCTTAAACATGAAGAGTTCTAATATCTGGTAGACCAAAAAATATGCCAGATATGATTTAAGTGTCTAGGTCACCAAGGTTTCAGATAGAAGACACGTCCCTCAGAGAAGAAAATGCTTGTTGCCTCTGGCTCTTTAGTCAAGAAGTTGCAGGGCTCTTTACCTTGGATACTCTGAGGCTTGCTGGCATTATCAAAGTCACAGATCTTCTCCCAGTTAGCCTTCACTGCTTCAGGAGTTTCTGACTCATTCTTCCGTCTGATAAGAGCTCCCAGAGTCCGCTCCCAGCGTACTGGTTAGAGAAAAAAAAAAAAAGAAAAAGAAAACTGAGCAGTCTGAGGGAGATAGAAAGCAAGATATATAAACAGTACCTTAAAATTTTAACTTTAAGAAAAAGGAAATTTAGAAAAAGATATTCTAACTCGAAAGAGGTTTACTATAGTCTCAAAAAAAACTTTTAAAAATACACCAACCTAAGAGGGAAACTTCTCTTATCACGCTAGATACTACTGAAGGAAAAAATGTACTAAATCAAAGTTTACATTCTATAATAATCACACCAAAGACCGACCTCAGATCACACAGGTAGATACTCCACTCTCCCTTCACTCTCCTTGGTTATAAAATGAAGAGTAACAAAACAGAAGTTAGCTGGGGAGCAAATTCAGGACTAGCAGTGGTAACAGGTCAAATATTCTGTTAATAAATCAGATAGCCACAAATAATTCCCCCATATCCTTCCTTTCCCTTTCTTCCATTTCTACAAGATGTCAGGTTATACAGATTCATTATAGCTGCATAAATTCTACTAGAATTTTTAACAGTGCTCTCCTTTTTTAAAATCCAGAGGAAGAACCTCTACGTAACCTTATTTAAACAAAATGGTCAGCTTTTGATGATTGTTAAATTTAAAATTTGTCTTGGTGAATGACAGAAATACCTGCTTCTAGATCTTTCCTATTATAGCTTTTGATTACAACACTTGTCTTTCTTTCTTAAATGGGTATCATAAGAAGATCAAATGCTTGAGAAATATAAATCATTTTAACAACTGGAGAGAACTAGTTATTAATGCTAAACTACTCATACTCCACAGTACATTACAACAATGCCCTCCAGTGACAGCAACTTTCTAAATAACTCAATTAAGTGATTAATTTTGATACCAGCAGCCAGCCAACTGAAAACAAATTGAGCACTAGGATTTTTACAATTTTTAAAAATGCTCTTATCAAATTTGAGGCTCACAAAGTCTGAGACATGGGACAGAACACTGAAGCCAGGGCTGGGGATTTAGCTCAGCAGCACAGCGCCCGACTGGCAAGTGCAAGGTCGTGAGTTCAATTCCCGGTTCCAGAAAAAACAAACAAACAAAAAAAAACAAAAAGAACACTGAAGCCAAATGAATTTACGGGGCAAGGGGCAGGGGCACAACTGATCAGGTGAATTTCTGGCCTAGAAAGCTGTCTGATGTGATTTTTCACTCTCTGCTGATGTCTCATGCTACTATCTAAAATAGAAAGTTATCTTTTAAGAAACAGCAAAAAAAACAAAAACAAAAACAAAACAAAAAGCATGTGGGATGCCACAGACATTGCTGGATAAATATCAGCATAGAGAGACTATGCTGTCTGAAAAAACAGCCAGTTCTGACCAAGACAGAACAAGTCTTGAAGAAGGACTACCTATAAGAAGCAAAGATTAATAGGTTCCTGAAAATGTCTCTGGCCTACAGAAATACTGTTGTTATAACAATATTCAAGTTTGAAATGCATGTACTAGATCAAGCATTTCACAAAATTCTTATTACCAGCTCTAATGGATATGCAAGTTTAAAGACATGAATATAACACATGACAAGCAAACACTGATAAAGACTTACATTTTCCAATCCATCCTGCTCCAACCTAGGAAAAATGAGAAAGAAAACTGCATCATCCAATATAAAATCACTAACAGAATTTTTTAAAAAGGCAACTACTTTACTATGAGTATTAGAACACTAGATGATAATGAATAAAAGTAACATGTAGCTCTACAAATGCCCTTTAGCCCCATGACTTTACAGCATTCATGTTATGAAAGCAGAAAACTAAAGCAACACAACGTAGTAGAAATGCATGTGGTAAAAAAAGAACAAATCTGAAGCCAGAGACCAAGACATGAGTTCTTCTGACCCTTGTCAAATCATTTCACCTCCCTAAATTCAAGTTTTCTTGTGTAAAATAAAGATAACAATACATATTTTATGGGTTATCATGAAATTTAAATAATATAAATAGTATACAACTATAGGCTTGAAATAAATGTCCCTGTAGAAAGAATTAATGAATTAAAAAAAAAAAAAACAAATAAAGTATTGGACTTAATGAACTACACATACCCATTTTAGTAAAACATCCTTATACAGACATAAGGAAAATGACCAAACACTAAAAGCCACATAGAAAAGTGAATTTTTCATTTCTACAGTTTTTCAAAGGTAACTCAGGAAAGTCCTCAGGATAAAAAAATGTCTGATGTAAAGAAAATCTCATCATGTCTTCAAACACCATTATAAAAGTGTGTCAGACTTTACCACTGGAATCTCACATGCATGTGAAGGAGAATCAGCAGAGAGTAGATAATGTGGCTCTAACCACAAGTGTGTGACTTTTCCTTTATATTACTATGCCCACACCTTTCTAATGCATCCAACCTGCTTTGATGTAGTTGTAACAAATAAAATAGGCAAGTTTTGACAACAGGCAAACTCTTCTTACCAAATTTCACAAATGAAGGTAAGAAAGTACCGATTTTCTCAGGTGATAAAAAAAACAACTCTTCAGCCAAATAGGAGTCTTGATCTGCTACTCTAGGTATCAACTGGAACTTTGCAAAGTGGTAGTTTACTGTCAAGGTTTAAGTCAGGATAAACTATACATCTCTTACTACATCAATCATGTATGCAAATATTCCTCACTAAAACAGTATAGTAAAAGAAATAGCAGCATAAAACTTCTGCAGTATGATCCTCATTTATACGTGTGTACAAAATACACATCTAAAAATTATTGTGTAAATGCACATCTAACAAAAGACTAGAAGAAAAAACATACAAGTATTAATAGCAGTTGTCTCTGGATGGTGATAACGTGGATCATTTTCTGTCCTCTCATATATTTGAAACTTTCACAAGTAGGACATATTTTTGTTCATAGTTAATAAATGTAACTATAAAAGATAAATAATTTTTAATTCTTTAGATAAAAGAGGGTCAGGCTAAGTTTTAAACTCAATATGGTTTGGTATTATTAAATTTTCTTATTCTGTAAAATTAGAGTTATAAAGGTTTTTTCTACCTCTTAATTTCGACAACTCAAATTCAGTGGGTATGATAGAAAAGAGAAGTACATATCTCTGCTTGGATATATGGAGACTGCTTTTCTATTCTTTAATTTACTCATCCGCTCTATATTAAAATGTAACGGGCTAGTGATATGTTATTCACTTCAAACTGAGCCAGATCCTTCTGCTTCCTAGAAATATTTTGGATGCCATAGTATTCTGTATACAGCAGGTTCATTATTAACACTAAGCAGTGACGGCGAGTATTTCAGAGCTTTCAATGATAACAAACAGCCTGTTGCAGAATACATGCCAGGGTTCGTCACTACTGCAATAGAATATAAAAAAAAAAAGGAAGAAGGACACTCTAATATACAACACATCAGGCTAGAAAAAGATACCAAGCCCAAATACGTAATTAGATAAATATAAATAAATATATATATCTATATATATATATATACACACACACACACACACACACACACATAGGCTTAAAAAGACCTAAAAGGACTTTTACTTTTAGAGTACAGTGGACCTCACTGGATGGTGGGATTATATGTGGTTTTTATTTTCACAATAAACATGTAAAGATGTAATATGAAAAAGCAGAAAAGTTTACTACTGAAGTTAAAATAATAAATTGTTTATTGGTCTCTCAAACCCAGACTAAATTCCTGCTATACTGATAATTAACACTGCAGAAAAACTGGCCCTGTACAATTTGTAGCTGTCACAACAAGGCCCGCGAAAAGACTACTAAGAATACAGCCACTCAGCAAGCCAGAATTACCAGCAAAATTCAAAATGGGATCTAGCTGACTCTAAATCTTGAGCTCTATCTTTCTACTTTGTCATTCAGTTTCTCAAATCAATGAGCCTTTCTATATTTGCCTAAACACATTAAATCTGCCATAATTTCATTTAATAACAATACTAGAAATGAAAAACTAAGGAAAAGCAATTTATTACGCTATTGTTAACATTCGCAAAAAGGTCACTGGTCCACATGTATTCCTTAACGGTAACACCACATAACATTTAAAAATATACAAGTGACGTCAATTGGTACAGATTTTTACAAATGTAAGAATTTAGAAAATATCAATTTTAAAACCATTTTTAAAATTTAATTACACAAATATTATTTAGGAGAAAATAAGGAAACTTCAGAATACCTCAAATAAGCTACCATTTTCCTCACAACTTTCATGACAAAGCCAAAGGACCAGGGGAGCCACATACTCTGGCTTTAGGGCTTGAACAAGATCTGAAATAAATACAAAAAAAGTAAAAATAAAAGTATGTACAGAGTTCCTCAATCATTTTACTTTCTGAAAATTTCACGTATCGGTAATTGAGCAATTCTTTAAATAAGAACAACATTATATACACATAAGTAGTCTAATAGTCAAAGTTTTCACAAGTTTTTCATCAAAACTTAGACATGCCCAAAACACCCTCAAACTTCTGAAACTGTAGGCAGCAGATTTACCTTTCCACAACAGATAACATATTGTTCACAAGAAAAATGAGTTCTAGCTGTCTAGGCAAAGACTGGTAAGCAAAATTGTCTATGAGAATCTCAGGTTCCACTCATTCCCAAAACTACTACTCTCCTAGCTATTTAAGGAGAATCTAAGAAACTACAAAACACCTGTGGCAACGGTAATGGCAGATAATGGCTGAGATGCACCTAAGCCATCACAGATGAGTAACAAAGTTTAAAAACTACCACACCATTGAATACCTTCTGTGATCAGTAAGTAGAGCAGAAAGGTACTACATAAGGAACATGAAGACCTGGATTTTAATGCTGACCCTGCTGTGTAGACAGCTTAGGAACTTATAACTTAGGAACACATAACTCACCTGCCCTGGACTTGAGTTTTCATCAGTAAGCTGATAGTTAAAATGCTTTCCCTGCCTACTTCACCAAGTTATTCCAAAGCTCAAATGAGATACAACTATACAATCTTTTATAACAGCTAATATACCTTATAATACTTTATAATTTTATCTAAAGGACCAAATAAATGCAAACATTTAATCGTGATATCATGGAAGATAATTTTATATTAATATGCTAAAGTAGCAGAGATTTACAGTCCTCTAATTAAAGAGCACCTCCGAAATCTTCACTTAGTAGCCTATAAAAACTCTCAAGTACACAAGCAATCCAACGGCACACAATTTTCCAGTCTCTACTATCTGCATGAGGAAAAACCAAAGATTCCAACCATCTCAAATTACACTATAAGACAAATTCTCAGCCTGTATACAATTCATCTCAATTTACAATATTCCTCTAATTCCCCACATACCAATATTCAAAACTGAGTGCTAAAAAAAATAATTATATGCATGGCTTTAGATATGTGAGTTGACTAACTTCATATTGGATACAAAATACTTTTATAAAATCTAACTGAATATCCATTATTATGGATGAGAAAAAAGACCAAAAGCCACATAGGAAAAATACTTCTGCTTTTTACCTTATTTCATATACTGTCACTAATTTCATAAGCAAATATTCTTGCTTGCCAAGGCATTCTCAAACTACTTGTCAGACAGCATCTATTACACACAATTTTATAATCAAAACACTCAAGAGGACAAATAAAATGTCTAGGTTGTATAGCTAATAAGATATATCAAAACTGAGGCTTATTTATTCAACCCAGTGTTTCTTCTGCAACATTAGATATCATGACTATCTAGCACCACACTGAGTCCAGAACTCTGAAGGACACTTTATTCTGCTTCCAAAAATGAGACTGCTTTAAGCCTTGCTGAGATAGAGCAACAATATGCACTCAAAAAGAAACAAAGTCCTACTACCATACTGCAGGGAAGGCATGGCTTCCCTGGCATGGATACCAGTAACAATCCTAACACAATACTTAAGAGGTAGGCCAGCATCAAGGTGGGGTCCCTAGTGTAAAATCTTCTACATCAAACCTCATCTTTCAAGGAACATCAAGATAGATCAAGTTGGTTATGCCTCCTGGCACCAGCACTAGCAAAGGCAAATTCTCTCTGAAGAAAACATTGCCAATTTAGAGCACAACAAACACAGAAAAAGATGAAATAATGTTCATGATTAACAGTCACCAAGCAGTCATGAAGGAAGAGCACCGTGAGTAAGTCAAAAGAAACAAGAAATTTATGCTACAGGGGAACAGAGACAGTGATTTAAAATACATTGTACAGAAAGTTATTGATTCAGAAAATGAAATACCAAGTTACAAAATGAATATTAATTCAAATGTGAAAAGTAAATGGTATCATAAATATTTACATTCTATCAAGTAGCTAATTTTAAAATATTCCCAGTCATCAATTATTTTGTACCATTTTATAGCAACTTCTTTTGACATAATATTATGGAGATTTTTTCCAGAATTACGTAAAGTTAAATACTCAAATATTCTATTACATAACTAAAGAAATAAACATTCTCAATAACACACAAATTTTTTAAATTTAATGCAGTGATCCCTTCACCTATTGCGGGAGTTATGTTCCAGAGACCCCAATAGGTGAAAATCCACGAAGAAGTAGTATTAGTATTATATTTATTTTATTATTTATATATATGTTAAGGCTTTATAAACCCTTCCCACACTCCTATAAACTTTTCCCACTCTCTTATTAACCTTTCCCACACTCTTATAAACACTTCATATGCTCTTAAACACTTTCTACATTCCTAAACCTACATAATTTTTAACAACATGTAAAATTCTACATGGGTACTCAACGTGAAGTGGACAAAGAGAGATGCTGAATGTCTGGGCACAGCGCAGGAGAGCAAACAGACCAATGCTACGGTCACTGAGCCAATCAGTGCCCAGGATACAGAATACAGTGCTGTGACTGGTCGCCTTAAATTCCATCAGCCAACAGTGTGCCATGTACAATCTCATGCTGGAAAACTTGTGCAAGTGGTAGTGGCGTACTGCATTTCCATTGTGTCCAGTATGGTATTCATCCACTGATGAAATATATACTGTATTTTATTTTGCTTTAATATTATTTTAATATGTTTGAATTAACATTTTTTATATTTTTATAGTTTTAAATTTTTAGACAAAAATAATTAAAAATCATAAATATTATATAAATACCTATATACCGTAAAATCACGCAATATAGTGAAAACCCCGTGATACACAATTAGATATACTTTTTTAAAAACCCCGCGATACGGTGAAGTCACAGTAAGTGAACCGCAATATAGCAAGGGACGACTGTATTTTCAAAAAGCTGGAAGACTCCCACTATCTATTTCAAGGCTGATTGTGAAACTTCAGTAATCAAAACATCATTATACAGGTTACAAAAAACAAGCACATTCATCACTAGACTAGAATAGAGAACCCAGTAACAGCCACATATGTGGTCAACTGATTTTGCACAAAAGGGCAAAGCCTACTCAAATTGAGAAAGAGAAATACCTGTAAGATAATGAAATGGTTTCTTCAACAAATAAATAGCTTTTTAAAAAAGATGAACTGTTACGCATTAAAGGAGAGTTATGAGACATAATACCAAAATGCCTATATCCTAATATATCAGCTCTAAAAAGATATCTTTTAAGAAAATTACATAATCTAATACAAATTTGTTATTAGGTGATTTAACATTATTTTGTTTGATTTGATAATGTGATTATTGTTATAAGGTCTGTATCTAGTAAGAGACGCATTCCCAAGAGTTTAGTAGGTGAAATAGAATGTCTAGGTCTTGCTTTGAAATGATGCAGGGGAAAAAAATGAGAAGATAACCAAAACAAAATTGCCTAATTGCTAAGCATTTGCTGAAGCAGAGGACGGGTACACAGTTCTTAACTACTTTTAATGAACACTGGAAACTTACATTAAAAAGTTTTTTTAAAAAATGTATAGGGCTGATCTAGTTCAGTGATAAGAGCATATGCCTAGTGTCTCTGAGGCCCTGCATTTGATCCCCACTACCAAATAAAAAAAGTGTAATTACAAACTATTTAGATTTTAATTATGCAACATGAACAAGATAAAAGACAATACAACTATTAAAAAACCTAGACTATTTTCTTAAATTGGAATGTGTTCATAATATAGTAAGAGAAAAAATAATTAGACTTCCAGTTTCTAACTCAACGTGTAAAACTTGTTAGTTACCACTTCCATCCTCAAACCAAGAAGCAGCTGACCAAACTAGAAATCAAGAGCTTTGCTTAGCTCCACCAGAGAACTGATGTCACAAGACAAACAACCACCTGGAAAACTGGAGAAAGTCAAATTCAGAAAATCATGGCTTACTGAGAAAGAAGCCTGTAGAGCCTAAGCCAGTAACAGTTTAAGTAGTAACTGACCAATTGCTAGAGGCTAATGTGGATTAGTTTGATCTTAGGGAGGTCCTGTCTCAAAGACGCACTGACACTTCTCTCAGATTTACTTCCAAAGGCCCCACCAGATTTTCACAATGAAGATCAGAGAGAAATCCTCTCATGTTTTAGACGGATGACAAGAAAATAAACCATCCAGAAATTTGCCCAGAGTACTCTGTTCCATTTAACAAAGCCCTGTCCTAAAGAGACACTACCAGAGCCTCATCTGAGCTAGGAGAAGAACAATTTGACAACCCAAACCCCTATAGCCCTCCTATCAAATAAAGGGGAAAAGGGTACAAATCTCTTCCAAAGATCCTGACACAGGACTGTGACCCATTTTTTAAAAATGGTGAGTCAGTCATAAAATTATAGAATATTTTTTCCTCACCAATACCTCATAATCACATCAACAGGGCTCCACATAGTAACAGTTGGTTACAGCTGAGAGAATTTCAAAACACAAATTCTACTTAACAAGGAGCTTCTAGGGAAACCCAAAACAACAGGGATACAAAACCAAAAACAAAAAGGAAAACTGAAGGCTCTGATATGTGCAATTAAAGCAAATAATAAACACAGCCTAACTCTTAATGAGATAAACATACAACCTCACACTAAATGCATATTTACCTCAACTCTTATTACCTAATACATTATGTTCAGCTTTCAAAAAAAAATTCAAGTCATGCTAAAAGGCAAGAAAAGGTACAAGCTGAAGAGGCAAGCAAACCAGACTCAGACATGAATCAACCAAATTCAAAAATGGCAGAGATATGGAAATTAATAGGCTGAGAATTTAATTATATTTAACATGGTAACTACATTTAACATGATAAGGGCTCTAATTGAAAAAGTGGTCAACACACAAGAACAGACACAAAAATAAACTAGAAGTCTGTAAGCAGAGCAAATGAAACTCAAACAATCAAAAAACTGTTAGAAACCAAAACCACTGTAACAGAAATAAAGACTCACTGAGCTTGACAATACCTAATTAGAAACTTCCCAAATTGAAAGGCAAAGAGAGAAAAGTGGAACAGAATACTGAAGAACCATAACCACAAAAGTTGTAATACGTGTGCAGTAGAAAGGAAAAAGAGAAGAAAGTCAAATATTTGAAGTAATGATGGCTGAAAATGTTCCAAAAATTAATGACATACCAAATCATAGACCCAGGAAACTGAGAAAACACCGAGCACTATAAATATCACAAATCTCTACTTAGGCATTCTATATTCAAATGGCAGAAAACCAAATACAAGGAGAAAACCTTGGGTGAAGCCAGAGGAGAAAAAACACCTAACCTAAAGAGTAACAATTATGAGGATCCTGTCAGACTGCTTCAGAAACCATGTAAACAAATTGAACATGAAGTAAAATATTTAAAGTAAAATTATCCTTCAAAAGTAAATTTATGTGCTAGATTTTAATATCCATGATCCCAAGGAAGCGCACAAATCTTTTTAAAAGGAGCATTGTTTATTTGCACAAACTGATCAATTTTGAGAGATTATTAATGACCTTGAAGTGGTTTCTGTGGGTGCGAAACAAATGGTGAGAACTTGAATGGGTCCCTCTTCATATAATATTGATGTTAAGTCTACTTGATATATCAAGTCACGTTCATCCTTAATTTTATACACTTGCATCTATCATTAAACAGTGATACTTTCAAAAGTACAGGAGATTAAAAGAACAGAAAGTCAAGCACAGACTAGGAAATACAGTATCTGATAAAGGACCTGCTCCAAAATATAATCAAGAAAGAAAAACTTAAAACTCAAAAACAGCCCAATTTACAAATGAGCAGAAGATCTGAATAGATCTAAAGAACATAAATAAGTAAAAAACAAGCACAGGAAAAGGTGCCCAACACTATGTTACTCGGGGGTCCCAAGTTAAAACAAGATACCACTACACATCTATCTATTAGATTAAAATTTAAAAGTTGGACAACAAATCCTAGCATGGATGTAGAGCAACAAGAACTATAACTTTTCTATAAAGCAAAAACTGCTCTAAAAAATAAATATATGATTTTTAAATAATGATTATAAAATAGTAAGAATGCTATTACCTCCCCCTATGTAAAAAATGATATAGTGTACCCATCTGCACAAGGCAAAGGGTGACTGCAAGGCTGAAACAGGAAGATCCTAACTCTGAGCCCAGCCTGGGCAACGTCGCACCTCAACAAGAACCCTCTCAAATTAAAAAGGGGCTGGGGATGTAGATGTGGCTCAGCGCAAAAATGCCCTATGCTGCGGGGGAGAAGAGGGTGTCTGTGTGGTTTACAGTAATTGTAATTGTGGTTTACAATTACAGATCTTCCTTTACCTTTTTGTGCTTTTTACATTTTTCAAAAATGAACACAAATTACACAAATTGTTGAAACTGGAAAGTAAAATATGTTTTAAATATTCAAAAAATTAAATACTTTTGAAAATGTCATTCCACATGTTTGTGACAGCACTGAAAAATCTAACTTACCTTCTGGCATAACAGTCTGAGTCATCCGTGACCCAGCATTAGGGGCAATAGTGTTACAATGGATATTGTTTTTCCTGCCTTCAATTGCAAGAGTGTTTGAGAGCCCCAAAAGACCCAGTTTTGCAGCACTGTAATTTGCCTGGCCGAAGTTGCCATATATTCCTGCAGATGACGAAGTCATAATGATCCTAAAAGGAAAATAAATCTGTCAACATCATCTTTTCTATATCTTAATAATGTTGCAATTCCAACCCTGTTTTGGTACTGTTGCACCCATCAAAATTAACTCTGTGTACTGTCATTAGCTTCTCAAAGTAATAGTTCATACATCTAAAATAGTATTTATATAAAAGTAATCTCTCAAAATTCAACTATGAGATCTGTTTGAAATGAATCATTGGTCACAGCCAAAAGAATTCAACTATAATAATATATTTATTATCTTTCAAAAACAATGTTTATGAGTATAAAATAAACCATCAACGCATCATAATTTTAGCAAGAAATATTAGATCAAGTAGTTGGAGTTCTTCAGTCCTCACCACTTTAACCAGTTTTCCTTTCTGGTTAATATTAAATTCCTCATAAAAACAATGCCATTTTATAATCTGGTCAAATCTCATTCTACTTAAACCAAATAAAATAAATCATATCGCTTATTTTCAGAAAATTCTAAGATAAAAATAAACTGGAAGTCTTCAGCTATATGAAACTCTACCTTCCATAGTTCTGTTTCTTCATATGATCCCATGCTGCCCGGGTCACTTGAAATGAGCCCCGTAAATGAACTCTATGGACTAGATCTAAAACAAAAAGTTAATTATATTATGTACATAAGCAATCATTTATCTATACAAAGATGTTCACTGTATACCTGGTATTCAAAATCAGCTACTGTTAACCCCTGAGTAATCATTTTTGCTTTTGTTCCAATTATGCTTGCTACTAATCACTAGTTCACACTCACATTTACAATAGTTCTCCCTATAATTTACAAAATTATTGCAATCTCCATATGTATATCTACATACAATGACATCTTTAATGCTAATTTATGTAAAAATTTGGTAATATAGCTACATTAGAATTTTACATATATATTGGCACTCAATACTAATATTAAAACATAATCATAAACCACACATCTTATCCCCAAGAAATAGTTACACAATATTCACAACATCCCTACTTTTTACAAGATTGCAAATGAGTTGAAGTGGGGATGAATAAGAATGCACCAATGGCAAAAACTGAGAGAACTGTTTTCAGAAACTTCATTCTCATGAACACTGACGGAATATTGTTCATACAGACAACTCTAGATTTAACATATTTTTTTAATTGTCAAGTTTTTAACCACTCTTAATTACTTTTGTTTCAATGTGGGACTTCAACAAATATCATGTGTCTACTAGAAGTAAGAGTGAAAACAAGTGCTACACACTAAAACAAAAGGGTAGTCAGGAGTGGGTAGGCTGATTCTCTGAGAATCAGAGAAGGAAAGAGCCCAGTCCCCTAACAACTCCAAGCACCAACCCAAGCTCCCATGCCAGCCAATCTTACCTTTCTAAACTTCTTTTTCACTCATTACACAGTAAGAGGACACTAACAGTTCTTCTTTGCTTAACTCTAAATCACACGTTTTGCTTCTTCTCAAAGGACTCGGAGAGACAGAAGCATGTACTATGAACAATGTCACAGTTACCTCAACTCAGATGCCATGCCTATTACTCTCACCTACTACTGCCTGCTTTAGTTCTAATATTCAATGAACATAAGGACAAAGAATAGGGAAAAAGAAAAGGAAAAAATCGTAACTGATTTGTTTACCTAAATTAAATCTTTCCAACATGGCAAAGGAAAATGGAAATCCTTCCTATTTATTAAAAACTTCAAATATACATCCAGATTCTGTCCTTCCCTGTTCACAGATTTCTTTTACTTCTCATTTCTTGTACCCTAGACATTCTTAAAAAAAGAGTGATATGCTTGACAAACACATCAAAAGTGACTGGAAAGTTAACACAGAAAATGCAAATAATCCCTCTAGGAGATAAAGAGGAACAAACTAAAGAAAATCTTTTCTGCCAAATAATTTAATTTTTTAAAAAATTTATCAAACCTTAATAGCCCACTTCCAGCTATTCATCATTATTAGTACAGAGCTTGTCATTTATACTAGCTGAAGCAAAAGTAGATAGAAACAGTCTTTTTCCTGAAACATATGAATGCATCAAATTTTTAAAGGCCAAACAGTTATTCTCCACAGAGACATTAAAAATAACTTACCCCAGTCTTCATCACTTATTCTACTGAAGGAACGGTCCCTCAGAATTCTAAAATAATGATTTTTTTAATTAGAATTGATTTAGAAAGGGGGAGAATATACACATGAAAACAGCTATTTGTACTTTACTAAAAATGAAAGACAAAATACTCACCCAGCATTGTTCACCACAACATCTACAACATAAAAAGATAATAAGTCACAAATATAAAAGTAAGCATATTAATTTACATTTGCTTACAACTCACATTTCTTTCAAAATTAGTTTCTCTCACCCCCACGGTAAAGAAAATATAAGAATACTATCAAAACTAAATTTTATACATACAACAAAAAAAAAAACCTGATTCGTAAAAATACAAGTATCACATTATATCAGACCTTTTTCTCAAACATATATTTAAGTTTTCCCACTCTGATTACATAATTCTATCAGGTTACATACAGAAGTAGCTGTGGTTAGTTTCTGAGGACTCAGAACCATAAGTCATCCTGCCCTCAACCTCAAAATTCACTCAGAAAATTAAAAGTTTAAAGATCTTGGGGATGGGGATTTAGCTCAGTGGCACAGCACCTGCCTGGCAAGCATGAGGACATGAGTTCAATTCCCCATACCGGCGGGAGGGGGGATTTAGAAAAAAAAAAAAAAAAAAAAAAAAAAAGCCAGGCGTGGTGGCACACACCTGTAATCCCAGCACTCGGGAGGCTGAGGCTGGAGATAGTTGCAAGTTCAAGAGCAGCCTGGGCTACAAAGTAGTGAGCTCAAGCCCAGCCTGAACTGCATAGCAAGACCCTGTCTCAAAAAGAAAAAAATAAAATATAAAGATCTTTCCATGCCACTTAAAAGGCAAAAGTTCCAAGAGAAAACGAAGTTAAAAACTGATGCCATGTTTTGATATATAATCATTACACTCTCTCTGCAAAGAAAGCAATTATATCTTTTAGATTCAACCACCATCTTGTGGCTGTTTTCTCCCTCTGACTTCACACCTCTATCATCTCTGTCAAATGATATGAACATGGCTCTTGAGTACAACCTAATATAATTAGAAAAACAAACACGCTAGACCAAACAAAAAAAGCAGGCACGTATTCAGTTTACAAAAGGTAACGTGTTTCAATCTGCAGACAGGGTAAGCCAGTAGCGCAATGGATAATGCCTCTGACTATGGATCAGAAGATTCAAACTGCAGACATGTTAGGCTATTTATTGTAATTTTTCCCTCTAGGAATTCATTAGCCTTTTAGTAAGAATGTGCGCAAGAAAACCAGGAAGATTATCTAGAGAAATATGGACTAAGTGCATGGAATGCTTCTTAACAATGAAGATTTTACAATGTACACTTCACCTTAATTTGCAAAATACCAGATCTTATTAACCTAAAAGTAATAAAGATAAATTCAAAAATATTTTATTAGGCAAGTAGGAGGTGTTCTTTTAGGACCATAAACGCAAAGAAGGAAACATCACCTATTCTTCCAAAAGCATCCAGTGCTGTCTTCACAATCTTCTCTCCTGCTTCCACTGAATCTGAAGAGAAGAAAAAATACTAAGAAACTTCAGTAATCTCCTCATAAATGACTCTAAATTCTGTTTATCAGCGCATGATTGATACTATTCAATCAACAGAACTCATTTCCAAGAAATATACATTTATATTGAAGCACATAACAAAACACAGAAGGTTTAATGTTACCAAAGAAATTTGGCCCTAGACAATTTTTAACCTACAAAAAAAGAAGGGATGAGGGAGATAAATACTTGACAAATACTAACTAAAGCAGCACTGTCCAATGTAACTTTCTGTGAGAATGGAAACTTATTTCTACACAGTTCCATGTGTGGCCACTGAGTATTCAAACTGTTTGAATAAAATTAAACATTCAGTTTGTCTAGAGTAACCCCGATCCCCTGCCAAACGTGCTGTTACAATATGGGCCTTGTTAGAAGAAGGCAGCAGCTGAAGGGTGCATCTCCCTCCTAGCTCATCTCCCCACTCTCTACTTCCTGGCTGCAGTGAGGTACACAGCTTTCTTTAGCCACTCCTTTCCATCATGCCACTATTGCCGTGGAGCCAGGTTAACTATGGACTGAATTCCCCAGAGACTGGAGCCAAGCTAAACCCCTCCTACTTTAAGTTGTGGGTATCAGGTATTTTGTCCAGAAATAGGAACACTATCTAACATAAACTGTGACTTTGTGCAGAACAGAATATGGAGACTGGTACAGAAAGAAGGCATTACAATTCTTACATCATATTACTTTGTCTTTTTAAAAGAACTTAAGACCATTCTATACAAACATGTAAGACATTTGAATAAAACAGTGCTTTTAAGAAAAACAGCATATCTACAACAATTTACTGAACATATGTTAATAAATGTTATTTATTATATATGTTAATAAAATATGAATTATGAATATGTTAATAAAAATACTAAACAGAACAAAGGTTAGAATTGTGAAAAAATATATATCAAAATTTTTTAAATTCTCATGTATTATGTAAAATACCTACCTAAAGAACTTTGACATAACTAGACAAAATCTAGTATCATAATTACACTGGCATGCTGAGGTATCTTCTCAAAGATTACTAATGTAAGCAATTACATAAGTTGAAGACAAATACACAGTATAGTTTTTTCAAATCTCATACCATAATTGGCCACTGCTTTTCCACCTTTCCTTCTTATTTCTTCAACAACTTTATTAGCTGCTAAGGAGCCTTTACCAACTCCTTTGAAGTCACCTCCTAAATCATTCACTGCAATACAATAGCAAGCAAACAATTAATTTCTAGACCTTAAAACATAAATTAGCAATAAAATTCTAATTACTAACTTATTTCTTCAGTCATCTGTCCAATCCCCTCCTACCCTGTCCCCATTTTACTAAACATTCTATAAGATATGTATTTTCAAATCATACTTTGCTTTTATCATAAATAGTAAAAATACTTAAATATAGGTTCATGACATGAAATTTTTTAACTCTGCAATATTTTTCCTCTTTTTTTGGTTTCTAGATATATTTTTTATTTTAAAGAGAATAAAAAACAGAAGTGATACAGAATTACAAAAAACAAGATAGGAATTCAACAATGGTTGTTATATTGCATACTGTTGTCTTCAAAGTAGCTGTTCAGATTACCAGATATAAGCATGTAAAATCAGTCAAAAGAAATTAAGCATTAAAATGCCCATCAACTGAGGAATGGATAAAAAAAGACGTGGTATTTTTATACAATGGAGTACTTCTCAACTATAAAGAAAAACTCGAGGCTTTTATAGGCAAATGGGTGCAAGTAGAAACCATACTCATAAAGTGAAATAAATCAGAACCACATGTGTAAACATTGTATTGTCTCCCTAGTGTAAGAACCTAAAAGACTAAATAAAATCTGAATGGTACAATAGATATTATGAAAGGGAAAGAAACTGCTGAAAAGGAAAGAACAACTGGGATGAGGGAAAGGAAAAAAGAAAGCAGCAAAAAATATACATATATATATATATTTATATATATGATAGCTAAGATAATTGTACTACTAATTTCTATTGGCTTGTTAAAAGGAACAGTTAATGCTTGATTTTTCCTCTTTTCAAAAAGAAGACAGTTCAACTCACTTTTTAGAAAAAAATGTGAAAATCATTTTGAGGTTAGATATACAGTAAGATGATGTAATAGTTTGGGGGCTAAAAGCAGAACAGTGATTACTAAGAAGGAAAGAGGATGAGATAAAAGACATGGGCTTTAATATGCTCAATGCATACTGTATGTATGGAAATATCACCTGAATCCATTAATGTGTAATCAGCATGTTAATTTCTTAAAATTAAAAACAAAACTAATGATTCAGCAATTCCACTCCAGGGTTTTTTATACAAAAGAATAGAATCAGAAGAAAAACGAATTTAAGATCTCTTGACATACTGAAGAGATATTAGCACTCCAACATTTACTGTAACACTATTCACTATAGCTAAGGCATAGAAAAAAACTAAATGTCCATTGATAGATGAATGAAAAAGATGTCAGTATGTCTTGAAGACGTACTGCTAAGTGAAATAAGACAGTCACAAAAAGACAAACACTGTATGGTATCATTCATATCAAGTATCTAAAATAGTTCAAATGCACAGAATCAGAGATAGAATGGTAGTTGCTAACAACTGAGAAAAGGTTAGAAATGGGGAGTTGTTAACTAATGGGTATAAAATTTCAATTATGCAAGATGAGTAAGTTACAGAGATCTGCTATACAACACTGTGCCTATACTGATATTGTATTATAATCTTAAAGGTTTGTTACAAGGATAGATCTTACACTGTTTATACTATAAAAAATTTTTAAAGTAGAGGTTATTACCACACAATGTAAAATACCTTCTCCATAAGAAAACTCTGTTTATAAAATAATGATACAACACATACACATGCATGGTATTAACCTACAAGCAGAAAAGAACACTTGAAATTTTTATAAAATACACTGTTTTGTAGGGAATTAAAGAAATAAAAACCACTTATTAAAATAGGTCAAAAATTACATACAGATATGTGCTCAGTAAGTAACGTAAATCACGCCTCAATCTATGTTTAATCACACAGAAGATCTCCACACATCCAATTATATGTACACTAAAATCAACTGTGCATTTACTATTTTTAAGAAAATCCATAGTGGGGCACAGAAGTGTTTACATAGTATGGTGCTTGTCCTCAATGAGATTCGAGGGCATTGAAAGTGAAGCATTTCATAACAAAGTAATACACAGATGTTCAGCATAAACTATGTATCAAGGCCAAGTAACAGAGAAAAAGAAAGCTAATTACATAATAATTCAAGACAGTGCTCGCTTCAGAAGCACATATACTAAAAAAAATCCAAGACAAAATGTACAAAATATGCAAAAACTAATGAAAAAATATTTGCATCAATGCCAAATAACTGGGGAAAAACAACATTTAAGAAAAATACTGGAAACAAAGAATTTGCAAACCAAAGTAGTCATTTTTGTTTACTGCACATATTCTGACGACTATAATAAAAATTACTAATCAATAAATGATATGGCAGTATATACTACAATTACAATATTCATGATTACAATTGGGGTAAAAAAGTTTTTTTCTAAAAAAAAGGTTCTGAGGGGTTCCCCAGATAATTTTTGTTTTTTAATTGAAGTGAGGGCACAAAGTAGGGGATACAGAGAGAAAAAAATACAATACCGAGCCACTTAAAACCTACAATGGCAAAGGTGTTTTCACTTTTGTTGTTGTTGTTGCTTTTAAAGAAATGGGTTTACTGTGGAAATCAGTTTGGAGATTCCTCAGAAAACTAGGTCTAGAGGTCCCATTCAACCCAGCTATACCCCTGCTGGGTATTTTCCCAGAAGATCTAAAAACATCATATCACAGCAATATATGTGCACCTATGTTCATAGCAGCACAATTTGTAATTGCTAAATTATGGAAGCAAGCCAAATGTCCATCCACCGAGGACTGGATAAGAAAATTGTGGTACTTTTATATAATGGAATATTACTCAGCTATAAAGAAAGATAAACTTGAGGCTTTTACAGGTAAATGGTCACAACTAGAGACCATACTCATAAGTGAAATAAATCAGACATACATGTGCAAACACTGCATTGTTTCACTAGTGTAAAACCTGAAAGAGTTAATTTAACCTAGGAGGTATGACAGACATTGTGAAATGACAGGAAAACACTCAAGGGTAAAGGGCAATTGGCATGTGGGAAAACAGAAGGGAAAGAAGGAGAAATTTTGTATGTATGTACATACAGGATAGTTAACATAGTTGTTCTACTGTCTTCTGTTTCTTTGCTGAAAGAAACTGTCAGTGAGTCCTTGATTGATCAATATTGCACTTCTCTATCTGTTTTCATGAGAAACCACTTTGAAGATATCAGTATGTAATACAACAAGCATTGTTAATTTCCTACCACTTTGTAACTCAGTATTGTCTGTACTGTTCTTTTGCTATTTTGTAAAAGGTTGTCCGTCTGTTAATGTTTTCCTCCTTTTATTTTTAAAATTTAAAAAAAAAAAAAGAAATGGGTTTTTTAAAATGTAGAATGGGATATATTTTTCCTAAAAATATATTAACAACCTTATTAAAAGTAATTCTGCAGAGACACAAAATAACATATTGTGTGTGCCTTACATTTTCCTTCAAAAGATGAAATAGTAGATTCTCAAAAGACTAAAGCACTATTAACTGTTTACTTCCATGCAATTACTGTATTCACATGACAAGAAACAACCAGGTTTTTAAAAAATCAAGATTTTTAAAACATTTAACAACATTTATCTTTTATCTTTTATGACTTTTTAAATAAGCACAGGAAATTTAAAAATCAAATTGGCAAATACACCATTGAAGTGAAAAGCTGCTCAATTTTGCAATAAAATACTACCCCCAAGTGGAAATTTTACAAAGTGCAACCAAACAGGCACTGAAGCCTGGATAAATAATCTGTTGAGGACAATAATGTGTAAGTAGTATCAGAATGGACTTATTCAAAACAAGTTTCTACATTAGACAGTACTAAATTAACCTCTGACACATTCAATCATCCCAGTATCACTAGAGCTATAAATCACAGGGATTAATATTAGAAAAGCACCAGTTTCCAGCTCAAGGACTTGGATACCAACAATGTTAAAAAGAATTTTTGCAGTTATGGAAAATACATTCACACTATGTGACACTGTTATACTGCAATGTACGACTAAAATTACAGTAATAATAATAATGGTACCACCAACCTCTGCTAACAGGTGTTTACTTCACATTTTCAATGAGCCACTAGGAACAGTGACGCATTTAATATTTATACAGCTTTTCAAGATACTGGCAGGAACAAGTGTTTCCGCTTGCACAGGTGAAAAAAGTTTGGAAAAGGTTGGGTCCTAACTCCAGGCTCCTAGATTACATGAAATGGCAAAACTTAGACTACAACCCAGACCTACTACAATAACATTCTGCTCCTCTAATACTATACTTAATATTTTTTTTCATTTTAAAAAGGACTTAATCATTTCTGCTCAGAAAAATAAAATCACATTTGAGGGGAGGAGGTAGACAAAAATATAAACCAGCTACTCCATGAAAATAGGAAGTACACTTGTTACATTATGTTAGTCAAGGAAAAAATATTTTCAACTGAAACCATCAAAGTATTCCAAAGTGTGACATACTTGTAAATTCTCCGTACAAAATCCAACTTATAATCAAGAAGGTAGGTTTCTTAAATTTTTTTTTAAATTTTCCCCTATTTCTGCCATTTTAAATAAATTAGTGGCATGGCTAAGCTATTAAATACTACAGAAGCTTTTTCCTAAAATCTATCCTGAAGTTTGATTAAATAAAATTATATTGGAAATGTAGTGACCCAGGAAATCCCAAAATACACTTGGGTCCTATCAAAAGCATTCTTTAAGTAGGTAACTGGATACCTAAACAGGAAGTACAAATTATCAAGCACAGATAGCCTGAAAAGAGACCCATATGTTTGTGAGAATGCCTGTTTCCCCACATTACAGTACTTTTCAGTAATACAAATACCTGTAATCATAAATTGTAGCTCACTGATTTAATTTACATTTCTTTGAGCACCAATAAAGTAACATTTTATTTTCATAGGTATACTGGCCATTTATATTTCTGGTTTTCTTGTTTTACTTGTTTTATCTGGGTGTTTGTCTTTCTGATAATTTGGGAGGTTTTTTGGGTTTT